AGTCGCTACAGCTGAAAGTAATGAACGAGTCAAGTTAAATAATGGTACTTAGATAATTTGGTTTTATCAACTGAGTTGGTAAAGTAAATTGGCTACCGTTAAAGAGTTTCAACGCTCGAAACTTTGAAAGTCTACGTTGGCCAATTTACTTAATCAACTCAGCTGATAAAACTAAAATTCTCTTGTTACTCCCACCGACGTAGCACCACAGTTTCTTTAGAAACTTACCCCTTTTATTTAATGGTACTTAGTTTAATAATCACTTCCTAGCTTCTGGCTCCTATTAGATGTAGATAAGGGATCTAAAATTGTTCTTCGGTGGTTAAATAGTTTTCAGCTTTGCAAGACTACCGTGGCAATTAAAACGAGTCTAGAAGAAGTCCCCGAGGTTTTTCCGCAGAGCAATGCGGTTTAATCTTTTACCTGCTGTCGGGGTTGGGGTCGTCGGAGTCACACCAGCTGGTACAAGTGTCACTTGTTGAGAACCTCTATTATCACCAGCGTGCTGTCCAAGTGTATCGTTGGTTGGAGAATATGCCCACACAATGTAAATTGGCATTCCTTGCTGTTGATAACGAAACATTTACAAAGAAAAAGCAAAAGTTATTGACCCATAGCGAAACAAACGAGAATTCTTAGAGTCAGGGTTACTAAAAAATGTTTTGCATCGTAAAGGTAAAAATAAAGGTAACTTTTACACGGGGTGCATTATACGACCATTGATTACCTGGATAACAACATCCTTTTCGTCGGTGGTGTTGAGCTTGCGATAAAACTTCAACTTTGTCGTTCCATTATTTTCAGTAGAGTAGGTCAACATCCAGTCTTGACTAGCATCCCTGTCAGGTAGTCGGAAACCGACTGTTTGATGATCCTAGAAAAAAGGCAGAAGTTTGATAGATCGTATCAAGAAATAGTCTATTGTGCCGGCTCAACTCTTCACATTACTTATTAAACAATAGTCCTTTTGTTCTTTGTAGCGCTGAGGGACTTTGGCCGAATTGGCGCAAAAAGGTTCTTGACAAATCGGAAAAAATTTTCGGAATAACAATTTAGCTACATTGGGGTAATGGGTAGCGTGTATTTACACTCGACAGGTATATTGTCACCGTACTACCCCAGGGGAAAATTGACCACTGACTTAGCCGCTTTGGGGGAGGGATAGGGTAAATTTGTCTCGTTAAGTCAATTCTCGATGGTCTACCCCTTATTTTTTTATGTCATTTTGCTGTTGGATAGAGAGCGATAAGTGACCAAACTGAGGTAACACAGCCAATGGAATGTAAGGGTATACCTTCTTCCCTTTCCATGAGAGCTTTCAATGTTCATAATGAAAATAAATGGGAGCCGTTGTCTGACAACTCGTGTACTTCACTCAGTAGCTCTTCATTTTCTATTGCAAACAAACCTCCAAGCTTCCTATTCCACCCTCAACTTTTCCAATGGCCACATCGTATCCCATCATACCAGTCGGAGCTGTTGTTGCAACACCAAACGCAATCCATCCTGTAGCTCTCACTTCTACTGTAAAGTGTATGGTGTCCATACTACTGTTGTACATCCAGGAGACATTATAATTTCCATCTTGGAGATTCAGAAAGGCTGGTTGCACAGGCATGACCGGTATAGAGGCAGTCGCTACAGCTGAAAGTAATGAAAGAGTCAAGTTAATGGTACTTCGATAATTTGATTTTATGAACTGCGTTGATAAAGTAAATTGACTACCGTTAAGAGTTTCAACGCTCGAAACTTTGAAACTGTACGTTGGCCAATTTACTGCATCAACTCAGTTGATAAAACTAAAATTCTCTTGTTGCTC